TAAAAAAGTACTCACAAAATTTTGGCATTAATACACCAATTTTGTCAATACACCAACAACAAATATAATATCAATTTTACCAATTAATACACAAAAATAAAATCACGAATTTCATTTTATAATCAATTAATACCATCACAATACACCAAAACAAATACAAACAAATTATAACAACGTAACTTACGATATCAATACACAATCATATACAATTATAATTTGGGAAGTGGGACCCGACTATAGTTATTAACAAAGTAATTAAACCTTCTAATCAACCCAAATCTAATCACACAAATTGGTTTTGTTCAGTGACATAAAATACACCATCATATACAATATTATTAGGTTTAGATTGCAGACTAAAATCCATTCATGATTTATTACACATATATACCTGGCGCGTCCCATCGTTCGTTGTGTTGAATTAGAATCGAAACACTATTGGTATTCATAATTGTACAATCTTTCAAAATAGGGAGGTAGAGAGTTTTGTTTTGATTAAAAAACCTTTTTTTTTTTAATTTGAGAGAATTGTGTAACCAATTTGAGTAAATCATGGAATGTAAAAGATTGGGAGAAAATCAGGGAGGTTGAGAATATCGTGGCTCATTAATACCACGATTTCTGTTTTTTTATTTATTGATTTTATAATTAATATTATTTCCTATTTTTGAAAAAAAACTATTGTTATGTAGTGGTAATTAATGTACTATATTTGTGTAGTTCAGTTTTTTGCCCTATACTTGTTGCCACAAGAGGAATATTCATTTGGTGATAAACACTATTAACATAAAATCCACATGGTTGATGTAACCAAAACACTTTTCATTAATTAACTTAATCTTTTGCTATGGTTGATGTATGATTTTGTTGGTAGCATTTTGATTGAATTCATCTACATATCTTATATATTATTGGGCAAAATGCTACCAACAAAATCATACATCAACCATAGCAAAAGATTAAGTTAATTAATGAAAAGTGTTTTGGTTACATCAACCATGTGGATTTTGTGTTAATAGTGTTTATCACCAAATGAATATTCCTCTTGTGGCAACAAGTATATTCCTTCTTTTTTCTATTTTGATGAATAAAGTTTATAGTTAGTTTATGATATTAATTTATAAAATGAAAAAAATAGGTCAAGAATTTTCATTTATTTAGAAGCAAAGTCTTTTAATTCAATATCATAGTCTTCATGTGGTGAAAATTAATCACAAATTTAAATTTTAGCAATATTAACAAAAATAATTGATAAAGTCAATTAGATAGGTCTTTGGAGAATATACCAACAAGGCTTATTCAATGGTACAATCTTCTATCTTTTAAAGAGACAATAGGTTGAAATAATTAAACTAACCATATTAATATAAGTTAATAAATTAATCAAAATACATTAAGCTAAAATGAGTTATATGTTAACAGTTACTTGAAAGATTATAGGATAATTTTATTTAGACACTGGAATTATATGCGATGTTTTATGTATGTGAACACATATTGACAAAGTGTTCCTGTTACTAAAGGATTGAGGTGTTGGGATTCCAACTTTATGACTTCTCCATTTTAGAACGATGAGTTCAAGTGGTAGTAATTTAGTTCTAAATTTAATATATGTACATATTTAATAAATTTCTTAGCATGACTATACTATTTTATGCAAAAGCTAATGAGTTCGATTGAATCTGTATTCGGGTTTCTAGCTCTACCCTTTCTCTATTTGGCACTTCCGATTGAAAATTTCAAAGAAACTTATAGATGTGTTTCAAATGTTAATTTCGTAAATAAATTAATCACTTAAAATATGTCACTTTTTTTAATCATATACATTAGATTCAATAAATTGTTAACCTTATGTCTAATTCAATTAAGGCAAATTTATGTAACCAAAAGAAATGATATATTTTATACAATTAATTTAATTATATGGTATATGTTAGATTCAATAAACTGTAAACCTTATGTCTGATTCAATTAAGGCAGATTTATGTAACCAAAAGAAATGATATATTTTATACAATTAATTTAATTATATGGTATATGCTTGAAAACACATGTAATAGTTCTTGCATAATTTAAACTAAAAATATTTTGATAAAAATATTTTTATTATATATTTAAATGCTTAATTAAAATAAATCGTGATTCACAAAAAGTTGTGGATCATTCGTGAAAAGATTTTATTTTGTTTTTTGAAAGAAAAAAAACTTAAGGATTAAGAAACTTGACAAGTCAAAAAAGCAGTTTTTATCACTTCTTTCTTTTTTGTTTTTTTCCATCTTTTTTGTTGTTTGGATTTTGTGGGACTGTGAAATGCTAGACCAAAAAAGGTATAAAAGAATGAGACTAATTAATCAATAAAACTATAAAAGGTACGTTCCGATCGAGTAGTAAGTACTTATAATTATAATTCAATTAGATTTCAAATTTAAGTCTTTTAGATACAGAATTATCATTAAAAAGTTTCAATTTTCTTCCCAATCTCGTTTGTTCCCCTTTCTATTTTTGTGTATCTGATAGCAAAAATATTTGTATCTAAATGTAACATGCGTAAAAAATTCTTAATTAATGATAAAATACATAATATTTTAAAAATATTAATAATAATAGTATATATATAATAGTGAAGTATGCCTAATTATGTAATTTTGCCATAATTAAATGTGACTTTTTATTTGTCTTATGATTTCATTTCATTGTATATTGAATAGTGTGTGTCTCTCTTTCTTTGATTTTCTTACCGGAGATATATATATATATATATATATTTGAGGTTCAATTACGTCAAAAGATCTCATATTAAGGTGTAATAATTTGTATCCCAAAATGCCCCACAGCTGTCCAACAACAAAACAAATTAAGCCTAATTCCAAAATACCAAAAATAGAACTATTTGATGATTTTTCTTTATAACTAGTTTTTTCACACGTTACACGTGACTATCAATTTCAAAAATATATGCTATATTAAATAATATTGCTTATTTAAGCAAAGATTTGAATAATAAGCTTAGCAAAAATAATATTGTAGATTCTTTTGTGAATGATCAACATGGATCGTCATATATATTTCTTATTCAGCAAACCTACGAAGATGGTCAATGAAAAATTTTATTAGTTAAATGCAATAATGTATATATTTATTTCAATTTGATGAGGTTAATCATGTAATTAGTCTTATCTCACTAATATTACCTTATAGACAAATGAGAGGAAACCCCTCTATTTATAGTCAACGAAATGAATAAACGACCTTTTCGAGAAGTCGCAACCCTTTGGAAAAGTCGCAATTTAATGAAAAAGTCACAACTCTTTGAAAAAGTCACAACTTATTGAAAAAGTCACAACTCATCGAAAAAGTCATAACCTAAGTTAGGGATATTATAATAATTTAACATTCAAGTTAGGAGTTCATTCTTTTAAAGTAATATAGATTATTACATATTTGGTATTCCAAGTTTATTACCCAATTAATACCAATTATGTTATGTCGCATAATTTATTAAAAGGAAAAATGTTCAAATTTGAGATCTCCATTTAAAAAATTAAAAAATCGTAATTTTTTTAAAATTTTTTTTTTATTGAAATGGCAGTTTTTTTTTTTATATTATTGAAATGTAGTGAGTCACGTGATTTATTTCTGATCCTTTTTTTACACTTTGGTGGTAGCCTGGTAGGCATACTTTTAATTCTAATTTGGTGTAATTTCCACTTGGTGCAAATTATATATTATTTCTTTATTTATCTAAAGTATCATTGTTTTTATATTAAAACATACCTCAATATTGTGTTAACTAAATATATTTGTTCCGAATTGACAACAAATAAACTTGGGCCAACTCCGCATTAAAATGTGTGTAGAATTGTTAATATAATGAGTAAAAACTATTCGATTTGATAAATTTGTATTTAATGAATTTCATATAAGTACATTATTTGAATAAAAACTACTAATTTAACCAAATTTATATTCGAACTTCTAGGCTCCACCCTTAACACTAGAAAGTTCATAATAAAAGAAAATCTTGAATTTATTTTTAAAAATATTAATCACTTATAATCAATGCTCAATTAGTGTGTATATACTAATCCATGATAATTTAAAGCACACATATAAATCATACATTATATACATAATATTTCTTTTATATACATAACAACTTACTTTCTTAATTTAATTAGACATAAATGTGAACATCAATTTTAGCAATAATATTCATTTAAGAATCTATAAATCAAGTATAGGAGTATACAACTATATACTTTTGAGTTGACGAAAGTGAAAAAAATTAATTTTAAATTTACTTTATGATATTTTATATTAGAAAAATTCATATAATGATCGATATATTTGATCATTCTCGCAAAGTTTAGAATTAATTATTTTCACGCATTCTTTTCTTCTTCTTTAATTCAATGACTAATTTGAGTTTATTATCCGTCAAAACTATAGTTATGCCTTTGAATCACGTTTCTCAAATAGTAAAACCCTATCTCTTAATTTACAAAAAATAATAATAATATGATATTACTCAACAAAATTAAATAAGAAAAAAAGTACTTCCTCTATCTCAATTTATGTGACATTTTTCTTTTTTCGAGAGTCAAACAGTTTCAGTTTGATCAATAATTTACGCGTGGAATCTTCAATTTTATTGAAACGAAATTTATATATTTATAAACTACGTAAAAAGTACTATAAGTCACAATAATTGACAATTCAAAATATTTAAAAGATGTATGAAAAATTTACAGTCAAAGATAGACTTAATTACTTGAATCTCGAAATCTGAAAAGTTCATATAAATTGGGACGGAGGGAATAAATAATATGATAATTATAGCTTATTTCAAGGGTATATAAGTAATTTAATACTACAAAACAACTTTATTTGTTTCTTGGCTTTTTCTTTCATGAGGAACCTAGCTACTTTGGCTTCTCAACCTTTTTCTATATAATCATTCACTTGGCTTCTATTTTTTCCCCCCTTTCTTCCTTTCCCCCCTATTCCCAAAATACTTCCCTGTTAAGCATCTTCTTGATATTTATTTTTTTAGAAAAAAATATAATATGGAGAAGAAAATGGCTAATTTTCCTAGTAGAGATATGAAGAAAAGTCCATCTTTATTGGCTTTGGAAGAGTTTGTTAATCATAACAAATTATTTTATGGAGAAGATGCAAAAATTGGTGATGTTTTTGGAGGAAATGATCATCAACAAAATATCAATAATAATAATAACAATAATATTAATCATCATGATCATAACAACAATAATGGTCATCATCATGCTCAACTTTTTGATGATATTTGTTCTATTGCTCCCTCATTTACTATGAGTAATCAGGTTAGCATACTTTTCCGCTTTTGAACTTCCTGTATGATTCTCTTTATAATCACACTGTTCAAGTCAGTTTACGCATACCTTAATTAATTTTATAGATATATGTTATCTTCCACCAACACAACTCCTGGTTGGTTCTTGAATATGTGTTTTGTATAAGGGAGTGTGCGTTTATTTTCCTTTCATGTCTTTTTATTAGTTATGTAATGAAATTTATACGATCAATGTACTTTAACGTGTTATACTCGATTTTGAGATATTTGTTTGAAAGATTACTTGGAAAATTATAAAATCAATTGGAAAAGAATATTTCTTTGATATGGTGTTAAAGAATCAATATATTAGAACCACAAAAAATAAAATAAAGAGGAGAAATGAATTGAATTGAAATGAAGAAAAAAAAAGAAATGAATTTAATGTTGAAGAATAAATGAAGAGGGTGGGTTGATATTTAAAGAGAAAGATGCTACAAAGATTTTTGGAATCTAATTGGGTGAAATAAAGTACCATTGGTGATTTAATTTATTTTTTATTTAATTATTATATTATGATATGTCCTAGCAACTTTATAATGTTTACAAATAGTATTAAATACAAAAGGGTGGCCAATCTTTAGTTGGGACGTGACTATTTATTATTGGTAGTATATACAAGTGATAAGTGACAATAAAAAAATCATATATTTCAAATAATTTTATTTTTTTTAGTGTAAAAATATAGAATTTTTTTTGAGGAAAATAATATTTAGGAGAAATAATGTTTAATTTTTTTATTTTTTTAAAAAAAGATGGGAATTAAGGACAAATCATGTAGTTACTGTATGAATTCTTCTCTTTTAATTACGTTTGAGATAGAGAAAGGAAGATTTAATCAAATTAGAAGTAATTTTATAATTCGTTGAATATGAACTCATGTATATATTTATTTGAGTTGATTGTCTTTTGTACTCTATCTCTCTATTTTTACGAGATAAAAATAAAGTTTGTGTGTACTCTACTCTTCTTATTGTCTTACTTGTGAAATTACACTGTATATGAACTCGTAAAATTATTATTTAAAATTATGATATTTTAATTAATAGATAGTACAAATAAGGAGATTATAAGATTCTTTTTTCTTTTTACATAATTAATAGATTTTCAAATATTTTTAAGTCCCTTTTATTTTGAAGATACGTTTTCAAATTGATTCCTTTCATGACTATAGTCTATATTCATGGTGCTTAACTATACATAATTTGGAATCTCACTTTTTAATGAATAAATTAAGTAATCAAAATAATATTTCAGAGTTTTTTTTTTAAGTACTATAAATTATAAAGTGAGTTTAATTAAATACTGAATTTTCATGTTACTGTGAATGGTCGGTTAGCTATGTAACTTTCAGAGGAATATAATCATACTATATATAATATAACAAAAACTTGAGTTTAAACAAGTGATTGTATCGTTAGTCGTGTTAGTTGAACAAATGATTTTTTGAATAGAGATTTTTTATCGTACAAAATTTTCTTAATGCAATTTATCTCTTTTACGTAATTTGTAAGATTATTATACTGAAATAGAATTTACCTTGTGCGTTTTTAAGTAATTATTTTTTTGAAAAGAAATTAGTTTTTCCTTTTCTACTTTTGTTTTTTTAGTGGAGAGTTGATTGATTTATGCCTTTGATTAGGTTCTATTGACAATTTGTGCTTTTTGAAATTGTCTTACTTCTTTGTATTATATAAAAAAATTAGGTATAGATTGAGAATGACAGGATAAAAAAAATTAATCAGAAAAAAAGAAAAAGATAATAATTATATATTCCAATGTCTCTTTCATACCACACACAAGTATAAAATAATAATTAAATAAATAGAATATACTTTTAAAGCATAGTTTGAGAGTAGTTCCCTAGGGACATCTTTAGAAGATCTTCTTTTTTAATTGGGGGTGTTGGGAGGACGAGGGGGGTGGGTGGGGTTTATAATTTGGAGTAATTTTGAATTTCCGGTCATAAGTTGGCTCCGCTCCTGATCTGGTATATATATAACCAAGAAATTGACAAGATTTAGTGGCGCACGAGTCTTTACCATTTTTTAGTTGAATAGTACGTTCTCAACAGTAACCCAAATTCGAATATGTAACATACCATATTAGATCGAATTTATTATTTATATTTTTTTCAATTGGTATACTAAATTATACGTATATTATTTATTGATTGCTATTTTTTTTTAAAAATTTAAGCGATTGCTTGAACACCTATTTAGATTATTTCTTTTACAAGAGATAGAAGAGACAAGATATGATATTTAGTTGAATAGTAAAATAGCCATTCAAGCTCTAAAAAGTCACATTTACTTTAATTTTTTGAAATATACCTTCCTTGATGATGCAACATAACCAATAATAGTTTTTTAAAAATATTGTAGTGATAATAATACCAAAGATTTATTTTCTGCTTCTTTGAATAGTTCAATTTTTTCTTTACAGACTATTATTTTGATTTCTGTTTCAAAAATAGATCTTTATTTATCAAACTGAATATAGACGTGCACAAATTTATAAATAAGAGATATTATACTAGTATTTGAAGGTCCTAAATTATTAACAGATTCTCTAGACACATCAAAATTTCGTTCCAAAGTCACTCCCCCTAGTCATTTCACTTTATATTTTATATTTTTTCAAAGGAAAATACTAACAATAATTTTTGCTAGTTAGTAGAACTATTTTTTTATTTATTACTACCATCTATTTTATTTTTTTGCATACTTACTTATTTATTTATTTTGCAATGACAGGATATATTAAGTGATTTCTCAAATTGTGCATTGACAGAAAGGCCCCTTTGGTCTCCAAATATTACTCCCAAGCAGTCCAGCATTTCTGTAACTGGGGATTCACAATCTTCAATATGTGGTATATATTTACTAATTCACTCTAAAGAAAATTATATTTGGTAGGACGAAAGTTATTTTTAAAAAGTAATTAAATTACGAAGAAGTCATTTTTGTATATATATACCAAAAATATTTATGAAGGATAAAAAGTTCATATAAAAAAGTGAATAGTAATTAATATTACCAATTTGGAAGAATATTTTTTAAAAATAACTTTCATCGTATCAAATCACCCACTTAATTATTTCATTTATTGATAGAAAAAATCTTGAATATGAATTTATATAAATTAATTTTCAGCTGGAAGTCCAACACCAACTATTATTATGCCCAAAATGAGAGACAATCAAGCTATGGGAGCCACTAGTGGGTCCTACCAGTCTGATGATGATGACCTGGAGGGTGATGTGGACCCGTGCGAAGAAAGCACGGACCCTTCGGATATTAAACGTATCAGAAGGTAAGACTCGTTCGATAAATTCACTTAAAAAAATATATAACAAAATTTTGAACTTGAGACTCCTCATTTAGAGATTATCATTCAATTAACGATTCAATATATAATTATTATATAATAATTGTCAGGCAAGCCTCTAATAGGGAGTCGGCACGGCGTTCAAGAAGAAGAAAACAAGCTCATTTAGCAGATCTTGAAAGTCAGGTATATATTTAAATTATATAATCTTATTATTATTCCATTGGAAAAAAATAAAAATAATATATATTTTCACGAAATGAAAGAAAGATAAATAGGTTGATTTAATGTTTGATTATATAATTTTTATATTTTAGCTCTGTATCAAGAGAAATATAAATATTTATTATATAGGAGTACATTAATAATATTTTATTTTATTTTTGTTTCCTCAGGTTGATCAATTTAGAGGTGAAAATGAAACATTGTTTAAGCAATTAGCAGATGCTACACAACAATATAAAGATTCTTTGACAAATAATAGAGTGCTCAAGTCAAATGTGGAAGAATTAAGAGCCAAAGTATTTTTCCTTTTTCTCTTACACTTAATTTAATTTACAATTGAATGTTTTTTTTAATGATTTTGTTAAAAGTAGAGGTTTAAATTTAGTCAGTGAAAATATAACATGTCTAATCTGTTTAAGTTTGGATTAGTTTGGATGGGTATATATCATTTGCGAGTTAATTTGATATAATTTGAAGTTGATTCACCTAAAAGGTTAAACCAATTTGGACGGTCAATATAACTCAAATTGAACAGGGTATTAAAATTTAATTAGAATATCTTTTAATTTTTTTTTATTTTTTTTGGATTTGATTGATTAAACATAGTCATATTAAATTTTTATTTCAATTGACTTATTTGACGCTTGTAGAAGTGTTGAAATAATTTTGACCAGACACTTTTTGGCCATGATTCACTTATTTGACACATGTGCCGTCGGAAATGTTCTTTTTTATTTCATAAATAGTCATAGTATATGGAACTTCATGACAATTTTGAGGAATTTTACTTATGAAATTTGAAATTTCATGACTATCGTTATTTTTAATCACGAAAATCGAAAAATGGTAATAGTTATGAATTTTATTCATTTTTTTCTCAAAATTAATTTTTTTTTTGCATGCAATTATACAGGTGAAATTGGCTGAGGTTAGGGCAGCTAGAGGTACAGTATCCTCAAGTTTAAGCCATCTTTTCCTAAATTACTTGACCCCTCCTCAATCTCTTGTTACCAATAATAATAATAATAATAATATTACTATGTGTCGTCTCGATAATGTCTCTCCGACCATCAACGTCCCCGGAGAAGACTCGTGGGGTGGAATTTCCGGTCAGAATCCGATGATCGGAGTCGAAAATATTAATGCATTCGATAGAAATCTCAATAATGGAGCTATGAGTGATAATGCTAGCTGCATTTCAGAAGTGTGGTCCTTCAAATAGTATGTTCATTTTATTTAAAAGTGAATTATGGATTTTAATTAATTACTTATATTAATATTATTATTATTGTGGTATTTATGTATGATTATAGACAATATATTTGTTGTATGTGAGATTTATCATAGTTGTATGTAACTATTTAAGGACTTTTATATGTTTGAGTTTGTTAACACTATGAACTTTAATATAATGTATTGTTATTTGATCTAAGAAAAAGTATGGTTTTTATCCATCGATTAATGTATATTGTGTTGTTATTTAATTTTTAGTTCTTTTTAGTATATATGTGTTATAGTCTAGAGGTGTTAGATGGACATACTAAATTATATTTCATCATACTTGCGTCAATTTCTCTCTATCTCCATTTGTATCATGTTGTTGTCGCTATTAAAAACTAGAATTGTTTCATGTATAAATATACACACGATAAAAGACATATGTAGATGTGTCCTTCCATCACAAACACTAAAAAACATTGTTATAAAAGGTAATTAATGTATATAGATTGTTTAGAAGTGTATATTCAACATGTTATACATGAAATATATACGTATTATACACTACATATACACACTTGTACACCTTCATGCTAACACCCTGATCATAGAGGGACGTTTAGTTTATGACTAGCTAATGATAAATAGATAATACAAAACCAACATATATAGACATGCAACAATTATTTCAATGAGCATTAGGAATCAATTAAAAAAAAAATACCATCACAAGATAGATGTATCTGAATCTTATATTATGTTTCAACATTATTTCGAAGATTTTATATGTTGCAAATATACAATTTTAAATAGAATAATCATTCCTTCAAAAATCAACGAGCAAATCATTGAAGAGTAAATGAATGTCTTAGCAAAGAAAAATAAAAATCAGCAATATACCACACCATACCACATATTCACAATTAAAAAATTAAACTTAAAGAGTGTTAGTTAAGTTTTAGAGTGTTGGGCTCAACTCTTGAGCATGATTATTTTTTTTTTGAAATGGGCTTAACAGTGCTATAGTGCATGTGAAATAAGTAGACTAAAATTAAATTAATGATCAAAAGATATGAAATATTTATAAGTTTCGAAGCTAATTACTTAGATATACACTAATTTGTAATATTATTAATCTTATTTGATTTTGGTGTGTTCGGATACATGTATCTCAAGATACATGGAGTCAAAATTAGGAGTAATTTAATCAAGATATACTATATTCAAGTAGATTTGAATGTATCTGGGATACACAAACAAATCTCGCTCGCCTCCCTCCCATCTCGCCCGCCACTTTCCTATGTATTTGGTATCTCAGATACATACAAATACATGTATCTAGTGTGATTCACGTATATCTGAGATACATATACAAATCTCACTCGTCTCCCTCCTGTTCTAGCTCGCCTCTCTCCCTAGCTATTTCAGTGTATCTGGTAGCAAAAAACATGTATCCAGGTGCATCTGACTTAATTTCTACCTTTTTGGTATGAAATTATTAATTAGTGATATAAACGTAATTATTTCAAATTATAGGAAGAATTAGTAAATATGATAAGAATCTTTGAGTAATTAGGTAGTTTCTCCTATAATTTATTGGTTTGTTTAGTTTTTTTTTTAATAAACCAAAATCAAATCAAATATTATTAATTTTTAAAATTGAAAAACAAAATATCATTTTTTTGCAATTGATTTTGACTTTTGGGTTTGAGTCGATTCTTCACCAAACCGTGAACCCCTACATGTGACTCATCTGTGTCACGACCCAACCCACCGGGCCATGCGGGCACCCACTCAAACACCTAAGTAGGAGAACCTTCATAACCCAATAGTCAACCATGCGGAAAAATTTAACAAAACTGATGTAATTACAATATCATAATTTTATAAATAATATCCTTAGACACACCTTTAGTTAAAAACTTGCAAAGTAATTTAACAACTCCCATGGATCTAGTCTAAATAGGTACAAGAGCTACTACGAGTACAACTGGACAAATAAATAAAAGACACAACTCCCACCATGCGAAAGGAAGAATAGAAGCTGCTGGAGATTTTCTTCGTCTTCACCTAATGAAACGTCACCAATCCTGCATCCAAACTATGTCAAAAGACATAGCAAGAGTAGTATCAGTACAAACACGCGTACTGGTAGGCATCATCAGTCAACCCGACGCCCACCACATAACATAAGAAACCAACTAGTAAGATCATGAAATAAACCACTCGCTTCTCCACCTTTCCCTATCTTAAAATACCTCCAAATTACACTAGCACCCAAATTCTCAACCACCTTCCAGTTAACCTACTTACTAGGTCTTGATCGTAGCCTAACCATTCTAACATGTAGAAAAACATTCCCAAATACGATTACAACATTCCAACTAACCGCTCACGGCATACCCTTACTTCCTCGTCACACTAACCAACCATGGTCACATAGTATACATTAAATCAAACATTCTTCCCACTAAACCCAATCTCTTTTCCCCAAAGTGAAATCTACTTAAGCATATTTCATCACACCCGCTAATTCTACTTCTCGCCATTATAACACATGAACCACCCTTACTATCCATTACTCGCCCCTTGAACACTTTATCCTTCCACTATATCTAACAAGTTCGCTTAACCCAAGAACTATCAATTATTAATGGTCATAACCTATATCCCCTAAGTTCAACACAAGCAAGTCAAACAACATTATAATTCTATGTATATATCGAACATGTACCATATTATCAACATTTACGAACAACGAACAACATCATATTTTATATCACATCATTGGCCCTCTCATGGAACCCAAACCCAAACAGTTAGTTATGTCGAAACGTGGCAAGCGATCCAAGTTAGTTATGCCGGAACGTGGCAACCGATCCCACAGTTATGCCGAAACGTGGCAACCGATCCAATAGTTATGCTGGAACGTGGCAACCGATCCAAGTTAGTTATGTCGGAACGTGGCAACCGATCCATTCAACACACCACAATCACAATCACAAGTACATTCTCAATAATCATACAATCAAGAAGTTATTCATGACATATAGTTATTCATTTATCTCATTTACAACAAGTGTAATCAACAATGCAATATTCATGTACAAACATTAATTTGACCATACTTAGCCCTAGTCATCATCTAAGGCTTCTTTCTAAGGTTTAGTCACAATTCATCGTAAATCCTCAATTCAATCACTCTAATTTATGATCTAGCATGCATTCATAAATCTAGTTCCATTCTTGATTTCATAGTCTTATTCTTGAACCAATTGTATCCATGATAACAATTCTAGAGTCCTTAACAATTATCGATTTCTCTCATCAAGGCATAAACCCTCATACTTTGATTTCTAGGGATTGCACATGGAATTTACTTGGTGCACGAAGGTCTACACATAACCCTACCATTGATTTCCTTATATTACGTAGTAAGCACAGATTTATAACTACTAAATTCATAAAACCTAGCCTACCTGGGGGGCAAGCAGTTGCATGGCGTTTTTGATTTCGATTCAGGTTTTTCCAGGCTTCGTGACGGTGAATTTGGCCAAGAATTCGCAAGATATCACCATCCTCACGCTAGAAATCTCCTTCTCCTTCTTTCCCAAGCTTAGAGCAACTTTCCTGAGGTTTCTAGGGTGTTTTACGACTTATATAGGTATTTTAGGAAGAATGAGAAAATAAGATTTCTCATAATTTACGTTTTGTCTCGCTTATCCCGCTCTGGCGCCAACTTACCCCGCCCTGATGCCGCCGCCTTGGTGACATCTAGCCCGCTCTGGCGGGAGAAAGGCCCAGAATTTTTTTCGAATTTTTGTTCCTCCTAAATAACGACGGTTCGGATCGTTACAATTTGTTTCTCCATGCAATCAGAATAGAGATCAAGAACATTAATAATGAAAATACAAATTAAGGAATTGATCAAGTACGGTTTAGTTCTCTCTAAATTATTATTATCTAGCTAACCCAATTAAAGAAGAATTTCAAAACAATAAAACTAGTGAACACTAAATGTATATTAGTATATATTTTCTCCCTTTCAATTTACATAGCATAATTTGAAATTTAAGAGTCAAAATTTTTATTTTGACCATACATTCAGACATTTAAAAAAAATTGGAAAATTAATCTACATATATAGAAACTACATTAAAAAAATACTATAAATCACAAGAATAAAACAATTTAAAATATTTAAAATGCATACCAATAAATCACGGCCAATGATTATTTTTGTTCATACTCTTCAAATTTAATTTCCACAGTAAAATTGACCTCCAAAAATTGTTCTTATATAAGTTTTATTTATTTATTTTCTTGCAAAATCAATCTCCAGAGGTCAATTTGTATTTTATAATTTCTAACGCTAAAAAAATTGACATCCAAAGATCAATTTTATAATAATAAAACTAAATATTAACTGTTTTTTTTAGTAGTAAATGTAACAATATAACCAAGCATGCATGTGATCAAATCAGCCATTTTAGCAGCATGTAAAATGAGCCATTTTGAGCTTACTTTATTAAATTGTAGGAAGTTTTACCTATTAAATTTTGTCTTATGAAGTAGGAACTTTTTTTAAAAAAAAGGATTCATTATATAGGCCTATTATAAATTCTAAACCTATGCAATGTTCTTAGAGCATATTTAATTTGAATTTGGAAATCTGATTTTAAGTTTTGATTTTAATTCAACGTTTGTTTATGAAATCGGTATAAATTTTAATTATGATTTTAATCTTCTTTTAAAATATAAAACTTGACTCATGAGATTATATTTTACAAAATAGAAAGACCCATAATTGTTATCTTTATAAAAAAAAATATGATAGAGTAACACCATGGACAAATTTGAGATTTGTTAAGACAAAAAGGTCTATACATGTCATAAGCTTGGGTCAAGTACTCTTGTGGGGGAAAACCTTAATTAACAAAGACGTTGAGTCTGTAAAGGAGGGTGTATGTGACACGTATGATGAAGGGTATATCAAATTAAAGAGAAGGATTGACAGACTTCTAGATTAATAAGATTCTAAAAAAGAGATGCATATCATGACACTTTAGCCGTATCCCACATGAGAATAAGAGAGGGAAGTAAAGAAATAGCTCAATTATACAAACTCATCACCCGTGAATTATACAAATGAGACAGCTTAAACTGTAGTTACAACCCGTTAATATACAAACTATAGCTATAGAAAATAATTAAGTTTAT